TATTACATATTATATTTATTCCAAATGTTTTATTGTTTCTCATTAAAGCAAACGATGTGTATATGAATCAAATTCATTTTACCGTTCTATACTATTTACTTTCTGTTACGTTGTTACGTAACAGGTAAACCCTAATGCTGCAATTTCGTTGGCCGCAGTTTATTCATTTGCTGAACCGAGTTTATCGAACATGAGTGAGTTTTGAGCATTTTAAAGAAAAGCTAAGCAGAGTTAGGCCTACATGTTTATAAACCTCAAAAGGCATAAAGTACATATTAACGATGACAAACTTGTGTTTTATTTTTCGGCAGCATATTTTTTAGTGGAGTTGCGCCATTAGTTTTTTCCTTGGTGATTTGGTGCCGCTGCAAACCGCTGCTTAATGCTAAGTTTGATCAATAGAAGTGAACAATTTCGGATTAGGACCAGGTCGTCGGTGGGCAGACATCGTAATTTAGCCTGCATAAACAAACATTGCGCCACGGCTGAACTTGCTATGCAGCACGAAGGATTCGCACCCATTACATTGAATAATCTGAGTACAGATGTTTTTGTTATTGAGTAGCCCTATTAAAAGTTGAGAATTAGCTGTGTCAATAAAATATCCAAAATGCCTATTTTGAACTGTTTAGCATTATTAGCGTGAACAAGGGCCGCGAAAAAATTTAATATAATAAAAGGGGCCGCGAGCTCAAAAGTTTGGGAAGCCCTGACGTAGACTACTGTATCTTAGAAGAGTTGATAAATTTACATTTGTTGCTTGATATCGATAACAGTTTACCAACTCTTATAGCGGATTTTGTTTATTTTAGCAGTACAACCGCTAACTTTTTTAAAAATCAACGCTTTTAGTGCATTTCGGTTCCATTTCACAACCTGGTATAGTTTCCCAATTGGTACGCGTGTTAATTGAGTCTTGGTTGCGCCCTGTGCTTTCTGTGGTCTTCCCGAAGATCGAACTTGTTTCCTTTTCGTGAACTGACCCTAATTTGTTTCTTTCCATTATGGTAAACGGCCAATCCCACTATAGTACTTTGTGGTTTTGCCCACTTAGAAGGAAAGTAATATTGGGTTGGGACAATCAAAGTGTACTCGCACAATTGCATTAAAAAGCTGAGCTAACTTGTGGAATTACAAGGACCGCAAGCAAGCAGTTTGATTCATGATTTCAATTTTGTTTTTTCGCCGCCAAAGATCTAGAAATCCCATGAACTATCAACACCTTCAAGCAATTTTAATTCCCCTTATTACCTGTAAAGCTTGAATTTGAATCCTACTGTTCATCATTTTCATCAACAACAATCCTAAAAACTTGTTTCTGACTTTGCATCTTGCGTTACGACACAATGCAGTTTTCACAAATTTTATTTTACAGTATTACACTTGTTTGGATTACATATACTGTGTCTTAAATTTTAAAGGACGTTGCTACTGTGTGTTGAATGAATCAGAAGACTCATATTCCGGATTTGTGGTTTATTATACGGCAACTTCACACTTAAAACAGAGGACACAACAAAACGCAGCCGCCCTCCAGCCCGTCGGCCGAAGTAAGAGAGCGAAAAACACAGTTTTTCTCTCACGTGTAGTGAGTGGTCGGAGTGCAGATCCGACAAAACAGCACTAAAAAAGGATCAACATAACAGTTTATAAACATGAAAATATATATATATATACACAATATAAACACGAACACTTTAGTCCGTGACAATATCGATACCAGTTTACGAACTTTTATAGCGAGTTCAACTGCTAACTGTAATAAAATGAACACTTTTAGTGCAGTTCGGTTCCATTCCCACAACCTGTTGTAGTTTCCCAATTGTTACACTTGATCTTGTTGCGGCCTCTGCTTTCTGTCAGCTTTCCGATGATTATAGCTAGCAAGCAATTTGGTTCATGATTCGCAGTATTTTTTATTTCACATTTTCGTCGTCGAAGATCTAGAAATCTCTGCTCCTATAACTCTAACAAGATGACTCAGTTTCTTCGTTCTCTATCTCGACTCGGACAAGCGTTCATTTTTAACCGGATGTGACGAGGATTACGTCACTAATGTTTCGACTTACTCTGACTGAGTAATCACGTACGCTGTATATTACATGATAGGCTACTAGACATACTTTGGTTGTGATAGTGACAACAAATTTGAATGTAGTTAGGTATTTGAAAAATAGGATACGTCGCTCAGTTAGATTAAGTAGACTACAGTGGTTATAATATTGTCAGTGAGCTTGTAGGCGAAAAAGATGGTCTCTAATAATAAATCTCCGCAAATCTTTTGTGGAATTTATATCTATTCAAGCCGTACTGGTGTAAACTTCACATAAGATATATATGCCACGAGTGCAATAAATTAGATTTTGACCATAATGAATATGTAAACATTAGTTTGAAATAACGCTTTGAAAACTATATAAAAATAACAATATAAAAATAATTAGTGGTTTATCATAGATATTTTTCAACTGTCGATTTAGTTTTCAAGTTTGTTTACCAAAAGTATATTCACGAATTCTCAATTTGAAGCGAAAGTTTAACAAGCATAGCCTGTTGGAGTATTTAGAATAGCCTATACTTGCTAGGCCTGGTCACATTCTAACACCATAAAGCGTCGTGCAAATCTGATTGACTGTCATTTTCAACTTTCGAAGGTTGTCCAAAAAAGTTGTAGTGCAATATATCTTACTAGTATGATATGAATTGTACAGGTGAAAAAGATCTTAAACAATTAATAAACCGTCTTATCAATTTATCTCTTACCTGTTATTATCCTTGAATCCTAATATTGAATAAATATCTCGGTTAAAATGTTGTGCTATTTCTGTAAAAAAACAAAACAAAATTTTTTGGCGCTCCCGTAGTGTGTGAACCAAGATGGCGGACACCTGAACATAGTATGTGTACCAAGTCAGGGTTAGGTCATAATTTTATTCCAATTTTCCTTATTTTGTTTCTATTACGAGTTCGGGGACTAGCCAAGTGACTCTCGTAGTATTTGTACCTGAAATTATGGCCTAACCCTAACCTGGCCCACCATCTTGGTTCACATACTACGGCAGTAGCCATTTTTCCAACTCACCCCTTTCTTCACGTGATAAAGACACTTATCAAAATGCTATTATTCAAATTAGGCGGAGGAATCTTTCGTTTTCAGTGAAAATTATTGAAATTTGATACGCATTTTAAACAGATGGCTTTATATATAATTTTAAATTAACACAGGGGTGATATATTTTATTTGAAATGTGATATTTTATCAAAACAAAAAGAAAATACATAAATGAACATAAGGAGAAACTCAAGTGACATACAGCGCACTATTGCTTCTCAAATATGATATGAATTTATATATTTCTAATATTCTGTAGGATAGATAATCCTTTTCTTTGCAAAGGGGTGACATATTAAGCGGTTTATTGTCAGCATACCTTATTTGCTGTAAAGTTTGCTGTTGAGTGAGTTTTACCCTACGTTCAATTGAATTTTTATAACTTATGACTTTGACAGCGACTAATAAGGAAAAAATAGGATTAACAATGTTTGCACCTCCTCGATATGATTGAATGCTGCAGACAACAGATTGGGAGACTGATTACTTATTTTTTGTTTATTCTAACTTATGTTGTAAAGATATCTAATTTGATGAATCGCCATGTCGATAACAAGTCCACAAAAATCTGACAAAAATCCACCCTCAATTATATCTGATATTCAATTGATACTAACTCATATTAATCAGCTTCAGTAGGAGAACAGAAATCTCCTGCATTAAGTAGGATGTTTCTTATCGCTTTATATTTATGGTTGTATCAGTTAGCCTAAAGCAAATGAGGTCATTCATATGAAATGTTATACGCGTTAAGGTTTCAGAAACAATGCCAAATAAGTCTGAATACAACAATTTATCCTAGCTTCATAAATGCAATTACTTGTTGTAAATCAGTAAGGGGGATTCTCACAGTCTGCATAATTTTGGAATTATCGCAGGTCCAGTCAAAACTCACAAACACTATTAGTTATAAAATATATAGGTAGACGCATATAGATTAATAACTTGGTCAGAGCATAATATAAGGATGAATAACGCAATTCAAATATCTTCATCTACAGCTCATGACTGGTCAATCGACTATTGAAAGGTTTATATAATCAATCAACTGTCCATGACGTGAATTAGTCATGGCGACAGTTTCCGGGTTTTTATAGAAAATACAGAACAATGCGTGCATCGGTGGGCGCTTAAATAGCCGCATCATGTAGAAACGATATAGCTATACCTGCTATGATTAATGTATATTACGTTATACCAACATAGCCTATTTGTCGAACCGACTTCAGTTAATGTAGGCCATGCGATTTTTAAGTAGTACAAATACCAACTAAAAATACTACAGTACATGTTATTGTTAAAGGCATTTGTAGTAAGTTTCAGGAGTTAAGAACAATCATTTGTGAGTTAAACGTCAATTGCAATATAAGTAGACAAGAAAACCGCTAAAAGTTTGGTAAGCAACTATTGATTAAGTTGTCACCACGCGCTGGGTGCTTGTGATGTTGCGATTGATGAATTGATCATATAAGAATATTTGTGCCAACCTGATCCAGAAACAGTGCTATCACTAGGAATTTGCAATGTAAAGTTCTTTCATGCGGGTCAGTCAATTCAGGCAACGAAAAGCTTCATCGGTATCACCTATAGTTTGTCTTGCTAAAAACCTCCTAGCGTTCTGTATTTGTTCAATTTGTCTTGTTTATATTTATTATTCAGCAACTATTTCAAAGTTCAGTAACTATTTTCTGAGTTGGATAGTTGGAAAATTTACGATTAACAGATTTTGGAATCTTAATGGTGCAACGTGGAATCGCAAAGTTTCCCGTGTACGGTTGTGCTTCATTTAAGTTAGCGTTGTAATTGAATCATAGATCCTATTACAGAACACACACTGAGAAAACTTAACTTATTCATATCCTGCTCGTAAAATAGATGTAAAGTGATTTATTACGCTTTTAATTTGTGCAGAAATGTTATATATTACATCATAATAAAACTATTTGAATATTCTATTACATCAAAAATGTCGTTTGCATCCAACGGTGGTTCTCCAGGTGGATCCAGCAATACCGAACCTGATGAATATAATCTTTGTAAGTTTTTTTTTTTCAATTGCTGAGATATATGCATTTTGGATTTTAAAACTTGTAGAAGAACACGCTATTGTGAGATTGGTGTTTTAAGGATCGCGATGTCCCCGGAAATTGTTGAGAGTATTTTAAGATTTCATTAAGTGTAACATAACACAATCAAAGATAATGCGTCATGAAAAGCATCATCTCTCCTGTGGCATGTTACACCAGGATACATTCACATAGTCTAACTATATACAACATTATCGCTGGCAATGATGCTCTAATTCATTCCCAATTTTCTGATGACTAGGTCAATCAAGTTTTTAACAAAATATCTAATTCTCGCTAACGGCGTTTACGAAAATATTTTTGCTCGTCATTGACAAGATTTTTTAGGATCTAAGTTGTATAGTATATTTGCAATAGTGATCTCTTCCGCTCTTTGTAACGGACGAAACATTTTATTTTAGATTTGGGATTCATGATTCCCATCGGGGCCATCTTAGCACTGTGTATTATTTGTTTACTTGTTATCAGCTGGCAACTTATTTGTCCAAAATGTTCAAGAAAATTTTGTCCAAAAGTATTCGCAGATTCATTTGGAGTGAGAAGGCGGATACGAAGTTCAAATGAAGAGGTATGTATCTGGTATCCGATTGGAATTGTTTAACAAGTAAAATAATTTTCGACAATGATTCTATATATATATATTGGATGGGCCAAAAGTAGTATCAAAGTTATTCATAATTAATTAATTTGATAACTATTAACCTATTTTTGCCCAACCTGTATATATCTAAATAAAAGGTTTGATGTCCAAAAGTATGTAATAGGAATCATTTAAAGTGCTATGTTTTCAATCAAATCAATTTTTCCGGGTGTCTGACTGAGATACTTAAAATCAAGCCAGACCTTGTATGACATGTAGTTTAATGTAGTTTACTTTATAAAGGGTTTTAATATAACGTCTGATAAGTTCTGTAGGCGTTTTAAGCTTGGTTCATGTACTTGTAATTTTTGGATTCAAATCTATAAATCTGTATACTTTAGACTGGTGGAGAAACAGAAGCAGGGGAGACATCAAATAGAAGGTCAACGAGAACTTCTATAACATTGGTGAGTGAATTTCCAAGTACATGTACATAAGAGCACATTACATCTTCTATTAGTGAATTTCCCAATACTAACTACAGTATATTGTGGAATGGCTTCAATACTTCCGCGAACAATTTGCAGTCATGACGTCAATGCACGCCATGAACATTTGGTAATTTTTGTCTTGATAGATTAAAAATATACGTCATTGACTGATCATTTCAGGTCGTATGCGTACTTATTTCAAATCAGCTGAAATTTTCAAATAGTTTTAATGAGTGACGTGATTGCTGAATAAAAGTTTTATTGGGTTGGTGCTTTGTAGTATATTTTTGATATTTGATCAATTCGTGAACACTACAGTAAAATATTGGTCACGAACTACAAATCAACACTATATGAGATTATCTGGAGTAATCTGGTTCAGTTACTTCTTTGATATTACGTATATACAACACTATGTGAACCAGGTTGTGTTAGGTGATATCATATGGCTTATCGTAATAAATGATGTAATCCAAATGTGCCGATTGTACAAGATATTTAATAGGCCATTTTACCTTTAGCGAGGCATTCTATACTGTAAACAATTACAGAGTGTTAGATTACGTGAAATATTTTACACATGCGGTTACCTACAAGCCTACATTGCCATTTAAACCAGGGCGGTCCAAGGTTGACGGCCTCACCGGCCACACTATTACTTTTATATTGTTCGCGGGCCACAATAGTGCCAAGAATAAGTGAACATTGCAATACAAACCAAACCCTTTTATTGTCCAAACAATGAACAATAATTATCATTTATCATGCTAAAAGCATGTCATGTCTTCAAATGTTTACAAAATAACTGCAGATTAATTGTTTACCGAATTTTACAAAATTTGAGATACAGGAGGATAATTACTAATGTGATATATAGGCAGCATTTTTACTGTTTAGGCTGGTTGCAAAAAAACACCCGGCAGAAATTATATTGTTCGGCCATTACATAGATATTTAGTTATCAGGCATGGCCAGCCTAGGCTAATTAGTAGATTCCCCATTTGATTTTTAGTTTTTTATTACGCCTATGTTTCTAGCATATATTCCCGACCAAGAAATAAAAAACCAGTTAACAATTTAGCCTAGCCAAACACATTATCCAACTTCGCTAGTTGCCTCAGCTAGTCTTAACACTAGTGAATTCACTCACATTCATCAGTAATGTAACAATACGTCAAAGAATTTTTCTAGTTATTTATAGGGTTTTGTTTTTTGTTAATTCCAAAAAAACATTTTGCTTTAAAACAATGGCTTGTTTTAAATTACTTTTTTTCCGTGTTTTCCGTATTTTTTTTATTGAAATACCCCTTGTAACGCCGTGAAACTACGCCAAACCGTTGCGTTCTGGCAGCTGCACACGCTTCCGGAATAATAATTTAAAAAATGTGAGTAAAAATTCTTGCTTCCACTTCAACTTTTATCGGGTACATTTATCGCCAAGTTTGTATCTACACCAAAATCATAAGATTTTAACAGGAATGTTTATCCGAGATATCAGGGAGACGTTTTCAGTAAGCAAAATCATGAAACATATAGCACACGAGCCTAATACAATCTAAAAGCATTTGGGTCAAAGGCAGTCTTCGGCAAAACAAGTGCGTTGCGATAATGAGAAATATACTTAGATCGACGGCAAACTACGGATTCGGACGATGAGACGCCCTAGCATAGACTAATTGTAAGACCCCTCTGATACAATGACGAAACAACTAATCTGTTACGACATCATATTAGGGATTTCGAGTTTATGTATTGACATTTTTTTATGTAGTGACATAAAATAAAGGCATTATTACGTTTAAAACTGTTCGGTTAATTTAAATCAGCATACTTTGTTTTTGAAGTTAAAGAGATAGACAGTTCCAAAGTTATGCAAACTCATTTATTTCAATTTTCGCAAGATGGTTTCGTCGCACGTAATGGCTTATTGGTTACGTCTTCCTGCGCCAACCACGTTTGTGGACGCATCGATCTACAGCTTGAGAAGGCGTGTATGGGCAAGTAATCAATATTTGTGGCGTTTCGAAGGGTTTATTGATAATAATAAGCGCTTGACAGGTTTTTACACCCATTTGTCTTTACCCTATTTAATACAAAAATAAAATAATACAGTCATTTTAAACAAAACAAGCAAAAAAAAAACTTGATTCGGGACAATTGTTTTAAATTCTCTTTTAACAAATACCTAGACGAAACAACACCAAATGCGTTTTTTTTGTTTACCCTCGCGCAAATGCGACGCGGGTCACAGATAATAGAACCGCGGGTCACAGACATGTGGCCCGCGGTCCTGGGTTTGGACCACCCTGATTTAAACTACTTGGCATCAAAACGTAACTGAAAAGTAGGCTTGGAATGTGAGGGCTTGGGTTATGGTCGAAACCGCTCTGTATAACTATTATTCTGCTTTCAACTTCATCTATTCTGATAACAGCAGTGAAAAACAGAAATGATTATTATTCAAACTAATTAGCAAATGGCACATATTATTCAACTTGTTTACAATGCGTTATCAGGGACATGACCGCATGAGCAAATTCTGCTGCTCGAAAAATGAAGTTGCGATAGATTTCATATAATTTAAGACATAAACAGATGCAATATGCCTGTTCGATTTCCTCTTCGGCATAAAAATTTGTTCATCACGGAGTATTATGTATTTTTAGGTGCGACGATATAGTGATTTTCCTCCAAGTTACGAAACGTTATTGGAGCAACCTCCTTCTTACGATTCAGTAGTAATCATTGAAGAAGAAACCTCAACAACTGGTCGTGGTGATAGCCGACGAAATTCAGCAGTTCGAACGTATGTTTATGATCCTATGAGGAGGGTTTCTATTGAGGTAAGCCTGTTAAAATAAAATAAAAATCTTCAGTGTTAACTATAAAAAAAACCTGCATAGCTTATTTTGTACATTATTATTCAGGTTCACGACGAAGACACAATAAGAGTAGTTGAAGAGTTATTGTCAAGAAGACGTTCTTCCTCATATAGTTCATTGGAACCGCCCGGTTACGGCCACGTTGTGCGAGTACCAGACAAATACCCTGCTATTCAATGCCCCGCGGCGTCTTGTTCGACGCACGTAAACATCTGATCAAGCGATTTCTGAATTACTCACTAAAGTCGTAATTCTCACGATGAGACACGCTTTGTCCCCGGAATATGATACAAAACCTGTTGCAGCCTTTTGCTGACAATCAACGCGAAAAAAATATGTGACATGCGTCTTTTACCTCTGAACTCTAGTTCTTGTATGAATTGTGTTCTCATGAGATAATATCTCGAGTTATTTGTTATAGTGGAACTTCCCTTAGATTTATATTATTTGTCCATTTTATGGTATATATTGCGATATGGGCAAAATGATACTTTCAAGCCACGACAGCGTTAATGTTACTAAAATATTCTAGGGTTCCAACGGTTATGCAGGAATTATCCCGGGCGTTGAAACTCCTGATGTCCCGAGAACAGTGGAAAATGAGCCATTGAACAAAGTATTATCTTTTTATCACAAATTGTATTACATATTTAATGAAATAAATGTTAACAGGCATAAAGAAATGTTATAAAATCAATAAAATGAAATGTCATGATGAAGTATGTATCCACATCTCCCCAGTAGGGAATGAATCCTTTAAATTATAGAAAGGATTTATGAAATAGTTTAAAATGTTTTTATTGATAGTTTTGAGTCTGGTTCCACCCTCTCCTTCCCTGGGGAAAAGTCCCCAGTTGCCCAGGATTGTTTAAAGGCTGGAGACGTTGCAGCACACGGGGGAACGATGGTTAAAGTGTGGCAGGTCTGGGCGCAATGAGATGTGGTATGGAAGTAGTAGTAGTGAGGCTGGAAAAGGTTTGCATTGGGGCGAATGTATATGTTGCAGATGTCTTCAATGGTTTCGGTGTTGATGCACTAATAAATTATTTCGAGTTGGGCGCTGCCAATCTAGTGGCGTAGAAATCGTTAGTTTCGAAGGATGATGCGTCCATAGCTGTGCAACATGACATAGTTTGGATATACGGTTTATTCGGCAAGACAATGTTTAAAATTATCTTTCAACCTTTCCTTCATGTTACGATTAGTGATGACCGTTGTTTCGAGTTTCGAGTTTTTTTTTAATATATTTATTAATATATAAAACACAGTTAGTTGATCGGTAAATCTACAACATTATTAATCACTAATCGTGGACAATACACAATTCATCATATAAAATAATCAGTAATTGTATCATAAAATTTTCTATTTCTGATCATGTTTCTTTATTTTGCCATTTTTATATGCAATGAACCGTTCAATTTCCCTTACTTCATACAGATATGAGGTAAAAACAATAAACAGTGGTTTCTTTGTCTGTATCTTACAACGATATAGATAAAACCGGGCAGCAAGAAGTATACAGTTACACAATTTGTTATAAAAATTACAGACATATCCCAACATGCAATCTCTCTTTGAAAAGTTAAAATTAATCCCTGCTTTTGAGTATATCCACATGTTTAGAGTTTCTCAAAACTGTTGAACAACTATACAATCATAGAAAAGGTGGCTGGCAGTTTCGACATTAGAATGACATAAATTACATAACTCTGATGAAACAAGTTTAAATTTATACAATCTATCGTTTAGTACTATGGCACCATGAAACATTTTTTCATGAAAAGATTGCAATTTGGTTTCAATAGAACAATAAAAGATATCCAGTCCCAGTGGAAGTTATGGCAGCTCTCTTGCACACTGGTTGTATAGCTCTAGCAAGTGGCCGTTTCGTTCTGCTAAAAGATTCTCTTTTTATAGTGCAGTTAGGAGCCATTTTAAGTGCAAGCGGTAGTGTTGTGGAATGAGGATATGATGAGATGCGATTTTGAAGATTGAGAGGAAGTTATGGCAGCTCTCTTGCACACTGGTTGTATCGCTCTGGCTAGTGGCCGTTTCGTTCTGCTAGAAGTTTCTCTCTTTTTAGTGCAGTTCGGGGCCGCATTAAGTGCAAGCGGTAGTGTTGTGGAATGAGGATATGATGATATGCGATTTTGAAGATTTCTTGTCAGGAGGATTTTGGCTGGGCTGATGTTTATATGTAGCAACGGTATGTTACGACTAACATATCGTTACGACATTCTAGTATAGCTTGTGCTACATTGTCATTATTGAAGGTTCCGTCTGAAAATGCATTGTCCATGATAATGCGTTTTGCAGATTTTATACCCAATTCTGTTCTGCTATGAGACTGTATTAAGCAGAACTTAGACAATATTGCACATTCCAGTCTGCCCTGAATTACTTGCGGCGGATGCCATCAGAACTGACGGTTTCTGGAGTTCCATAACTGATAAAGAAATCGCGACACTCTTTGATGAGGTTTTATGATGTTGTTTGATTGGGGTGAAAATGAAATATTGATATTCAACCGCTGAAGCGATCGACGTGAATATATATATATATAAGTGCCCTCCGAGAGGGAAGTAATATCCACACACATGTTGAAAGTCTGGCAAAGGATCAAAACCAATCATCCTTTAGATTGTTGTGGTGCGATGATATTGCATTTTTGATAATTGTAGCGGGTGTTTCTTATAGCAGGGGTGTCAAACTCGTTGGTTCTCGAAGGCCGTATTGCATTTTGGGAATTGTGCACAGGGCCGCAAACAGTTTTCGATGTATTATGATAATGTATACTTGGAGCATATTTTTAGATAGGTGTAGTTTGTGACATATATTGTGATTCAATCAAACAGCCGAATGAAGTTTTGTTATTTTCTTGAATTTCAAATGCCATTTACATATTATTTTCGGCTGCAACTTGCGACGAAGGTGAACGAATTTTACGCTCCACTCCAATATATATATAAAGAATATTTTGCTTTGCATGCGAACAAAGTTACAAGGCAACTTACGATGTAAATAATTTAAGTATTTCGATAAACCGTCAGTAAACAGTTAGTCCAAGGACACGCCATTCATGCATCTGAATCTAAAATATCAATTTCTCCTGTTCTAAAATATCTGTTCTTTAAGTTCACACTCAATAAATCTGTATATACGTTAATGATAATTAACTAATTATTAGAATATCGTCAACTTGAAATATCAAGTATCGGTATCGCCGTTTTTCTTTGGTATCGATGTAAGTTAGTTGCTAGATTTATTGTCGCTTTCCTTTCGAACTTATGAAGAAAATAACATATTGTCCAATAACTTTATACATGTTACTGTTACTATGTTGAGTATTGGAGTTTACACAATATGACAATGGAAAATATATGGACAGTATAGTTAGATAATCCACACAAACCAACGCCGTATAGGCAGCGCTGTTGTATATTCCGTTTTCGTCAACAGTGTAAGCATTAGTCATCGAAAAACCTAGAAGATCATATAATTAAATATAGATCGCGCTTGTTTTTTGGTATTGGTGCTGATTTTGTCGCGATGGGCTAAGATGTGGTTTGAAACGGATTATTGAAGGTATCACAGTTTCCGAATCAACTATCATGTTGTTCGGCAGTGTCTTGTCATGATATATGTATATTAATGACATATATCTTGGAATATATGAATATAAGTGTTTGAGGTATTGTTCAAGTTATTAATTCTAGCGTTGTTTCTATGATAAAAATAACAGTTAAAAAATAATGGCACCGAGAAGCCCTACATTTAAACTTTTGCTCACCATCATCAAGTTTGCTCTCCTGATACACCCCGGGTCGAAGGAAAGTGAAATGGGGAAACTCAATCGATGTAGTTGTTGCTTGAAAATAAAACTTCATATAATCATTGTATATAAATAAATTCAGCGTTGCTGAAATGAGTATAACATATTTACGTACTCGTATTTATGCGATTTCGAACTATAATCGGATTCATCGAAAATCCTAAAATAGTTTTGGACTGGGTAGGAGGTTGATTGACTTATCTGAAGTTGAGAACAATATAAAGTAAATATATAACAATATAAAAATATGATTTGTGTGGAAACTGATGGAAACGAACGAAACAGTATATATAGGCCGACATGGATTGTGTGCCCTATGGATATGAATAATAAATGCTTAGTCGAAACCTCAAGTATATAAAGTAATATAGTTGGTGCAGTTTAGATTTGATTTTGTGATTGATTTTACCTTTGTAAAATATATTTTGTAAAGAACCCACAAAATTTGCAAACTGTTGAATAACGCATAATGTAGGCCTTTGAATTAATATATTTTTGCCATCGCTGTTATTAATCTAGAATCAACACGCTGATTTCTTCAGACGACCTACGTTAACAGAGTTTATTTCAAATGTGACAATATCTCACGTGTTCTGTTAAGTATAGTATCAGAAGTGCTTTGTAGTTGGTTATAGTAAATTAATTTCGATTTTATGATGTGGCGTATACCTTTTTTTGAAAGTTCTCAAGTCAGTTCGAAAACCATTGGAAGTTTCTGTAAAATTTCCTGCTTGTTCACATTTCATACCAGACGTGCAGTATCATTCGTTTGTAGTCCTGTGGACCATGTAGTACCGTGTAGCGATGTCATTTAAATACATATTAGTGAAAACAAAATTGAGAGGAATATTTTTTATAGATTATACACAGGATATGTACAGATTATGAAAATGTGGCTGAAAAATATTTTGATCTTACCAATTCCAAATGAATTTTTAGATTAGAAAATAAGTTGAGAACCCCATTTAGCGGGCCTAAGAAAACGGAGATATGGAGCAGACTTTGTGATAAAAATAATCATCAGAAAAAACAGGAGATAGCGATATAAATTAAAATGTCTCCAGTATCTGGGATTGATACTTTGAAATCAATGTTTTACCAACCTACCTTGTAAATATCGAAAATCTTTTGATGGCTCAGGGAAAAAGCATTACCTTTCCAATGAAAAAGCAACTAAAAGCAATAATGTTGCTAAAAATATATATACTTGTGAAAAACATCGTATCTGAAATATTAAACTAAAACGCCTGAATGTATATTGAAAGTCGGTTAAGCTTCGAGAATTACAACATTAGAGATTTTCGGTATTTTCTGGGAGCGCACTGCCAAAATAAACTGAGAAATTTTGTTTACCCTATATTATGAAGAAACCGAATGCCAATAGTTTTATCGTGGTTTTAGTTGATTACCACGCGATAAATTACTTACGATTGCAATAACTTGGAATATGCCGAATGTTGCAACGTCTTAAAATAAGGGAAAAGATTTACACCATTTAGTAAAAGAAATGCGGCACATATTCTATTTTCTGGCAAGAATAACATCAAATTGCATCAATGATGCTGTGACATATGCATCAGTTGATGGTAATGAAACTTTTTTTAGTGGGTTTTACATGTACCATAACTGTAATAATACCCTACCAAGGCGTCAAAGTGTTCTAAAATAATTGTAACTTTTCAAACTACCATTGATAAAATTATATATTTTTCTAAGTTAAAAAGTAGCTGTTGTTTTACGATTTTTTTTTCTGGCCTTAGATTTATGGTCCTAGCTTTCATTGAATTGCGTTGGATGAAATATTTTCTCAGCAAAGAAAATACGAACATATGCAAATTCAGTATGATTATATACTCATCCACTATTGCATGCATTATTGCAAAAACAAACAATCTGCGGCACGATTTGTCAGTGAAACAATATGTTTTCGAAAACGGTTTCAAAATTTCTTCGTTTGTATAGTGCAGGGATGGCGAACCTTTTTCAATGAATGGGTCAAAAATTATATTTTTATCGCGGAGCAGAAGAGAGTGGGTCACAAATATTTGATCAATGTTTGTATCATTAAGAAAATTCTGAAACTAATCTTATAAGCTTCTGTTGGTGTTGGTGTAGTTTTGGGCTTCACTTATGCAGCACTTCTATCTGGGACTTTTTATGGCACTCGATTTCATGAAATTAAAGTACGAAAACACGCATATGAATTACCAACAACGTTTAGCATGAAGCAGCAAATTATTTTACGATTTCAAAGAGTTTGGAAGGAATTCCACTCTGATAGTGGTATATTTATATATATACGGTATTGTAGGCAAGAAACTGATAAAATGCAACTTAGTAGCATCTAGTTCTCGTATAACCCCTAAAATAGCCTGCAGATGCGCTTCCGAAATGGACAAAACGTTGTGAGAAATGAACATATCAATTGCATAAACTATATCAGAGCCAATAGCTGAAAAACGATACACAGCGGTGCAGACACGCGTCCAAGATTTTTCAGCGCATAAATTATGTCAATCCGTGCATTTTTTAATACTGTGAAAATTGGTTGAGAAGCTCAGGTTGATTTGGAGTATAGTTATAAATATAAACGATACCAAAATTGTGTATTATATAAATGATTATGAGTACAGATTATTATAAAATCTATTTTCTCCATAGAAGATAATGACCACAGCTATATACCTAACCAATCACTGGTCTAACCCTATATTATTGCACTTGTGTTAAACCTTTGATATTTATTTTTTAAAGTTATCCACTAATGTGTGATTTTGTCGTAAAACAATAACTATTATAACATTCAATACCGCACAACATTTTTGATGGACATCTAAGCCTGTTGCTCTCATTTGCCGATAAAACTTAGACTACTAATTGAAAAAAGTTGCAAGAGAATTAATTCTTTAAACTGAATTTTATAGCAAACCATTTTAAAGAAAAGCTTAGAGTGAGACTCTGCGCTACAATTCGAATTGCAATTAGGTGCCGGATCCGGATCCAGAGCCAGAGCCGGACATTTCTACGGCGGATACTGAGAATGTTAGAACACTCGTCCCCTGGATACAATTGCGCCTTGCTTCAGTTTTAGCTAGCTTTGGATGAATTGCTCCGCTATAGAAGATGCCAAGTTCTGGAATATTAGCAAGAGGTGCTGCAGCTGTGAAACTCGAATTCCCCAACATAGTTTCTACCCATTGGTATTCAGCAACGAGATCCTCAAATGAACTTGTGTTGATTGTTATATTTGGTGGAATCACAAGAGCAAATGTGAATCCTTGCAGTTTTGGAGTAATGGTCACTTCCGTTCTGTCAAATTCATTATCTGAGAGAATATCTCTGAAAATAATATCGATGCATAATAACAAATCACAGTGAAATAGATGTTAATATGTCTTTATTTTTTAAATTTTATTTATATGATTTATTCATTTATACGATCAGATCATAAAACTTTCCAAATGAAAACAAATGCGAAACTGAAAGAGTACATACGGACACTTGTATTCAACACATGCTGTTAGGCCATTTCCTTGAGATATTCTACGACCGTATTCCTTTCCTTTTGTAACTGTATGTGTTCCTCCGCGACTGATTGCCTCAACTGTCCATTCTTTCAAGTCGTCTTCGATGACATCGATTGGCAACACATTCAACTTGATTATTGTAAAAATTTTTTGAAATTGATGGTATATAAATAAAAAAATCAACGTTTTTGAAAAATATCATTTTAATACAGGCAGTAATAAACTTATTGATTTGACAAAACAGGGCTATCTAATTTTTCGTTAATTAGGGCCTACACATGATTTTGAAAATATCTACATTTCAAACAATGATAGTCTTGTATCATATAATAAGGATTGTGTGGATAATATTAGCATTTCAAAATAAATTTAGTCCTTTCTACTGGAACTTCAATTGCACCTACTTTCACATAGCACGCTTTGAAGAGATTTCTGTTTGGCCACCAAGAAAATACATCATTTATCCAAGGCGAAAAAATGTTGTTTTCGTCGATGGGAATTGTATTCACTTCAATATCTTCTGGTAAAAATCTTAAAATATGTAAGAACAATACTTTATTTCGAAAAAATGAAACAAATAAAACAGAATCATTTTATTATGCACGCTAGATATACGCGACGACATCATTTTGACCCCATCGGAAAATTCATCAGTGTTAACTATGGTAGTTTTTAAACTACAAAACTACGTGTACGTTGACCAGAACATTCCCATAATATGGTGACATGAATCTGTCCAGTGCTTTATTTGGTGTCCCAAAAACTAGGTATTTTCAGTAGACTGAATAGATAAAAAAAAAGTGGAAATGGATATTTTAGCTAAAATGTAGCGATTCTGATATTGGCTTTTAAATAAAAGCGATTTTAAGTAACTCTCATATTCTCTCAGCAATTATTGATTCCTAATTCCACTAGTAAAATTCATGCGTATACTTGTTTTACTTGCACGAAAATAAGTTAAATAAATAAAAGCGCCACACACACTTCTGGATCACACACACTGAGAAAGTTTTCGTAACGTTATATCAAATTCATCTGTTACGGGAAATAAAAACGCTGGGTGAGGTAATAAAGTGCGTTATTATAGTGTTTTAGAATTGACCTACCTGGAAAGTCGAAAATGATAATCTTCGAACGGCGCTCTATAACAGTCATATCCATCTTGGTATATGGGTCCTTTTGAACCTTGTACAGCTCCACCTCTTGGTATTTGCACGGTGAAGTAATTAAGTTCGTTCCTAAATGATTGTAATATAGTAGAGTTAATCAATGTTATGATGATGTAAAAAAAATATCGCAATAATCTTGCTCACTTTAAAATGTACCTAGTACAGACATTCGCAACTATTGCTAGTATAACTAGATTTGCTCTTGTTCTCCAATATATTACTATTGGATATTGGGTAATTTCGAAGTTTAGTCAGCCAACAAGAGCAGATATATATGTTATTTATTTGCTACATTGCTGGCCACAACCAAGAAATAGTTTGTAAACCCTGCATTGGTGAGCCGACAATCAAGTCGACATTCCATTCAAGATAGAGTCAGAATTTCATTTGTTGGAAAGGTGACCCCAAGGATATCAAATGCACAAGCCAAGGATAAAAAGAACAAGAAAAATTCGAAACAACAACAAATAAAAATAAAAGCGAAAAAACAAGAAGGCATACTTCTTGTATACTTGTTGTATCCAACTGCAAGTATACTACAGAGAAAGAGACTGTTATATGAAAAAATGTGAGTGAAACATTCACACTATGGACTGTTAAATTTGAAAAAAATAGGTGTATAAAACAATCACACCATAAAGACTGTTTTAATACCGAGAAAAAAAAATGTAAAGTTAAAAACTGGTCAGACGTCTTAACTATAAAAACAAATGAAAAACTACGAAACGAGGGAACTTCGGAATAAAACGCCCGCGAGTGAACGACTCGCGCGATTATTGCATTGTATTATATTATTGATTTCAATTTCGCATACAAAATGAATAGACATTCTCCTACTTCACATGTATTTCATACTTTTTTCATCCTAATTATTAAAGTCTCCAATATTTTGTACAAAACCCAACGATGTTCACTCAAAAGTAGCTGATTTATTCGATTTTGAAGATATCAGCATTCGTTTTCTTTTTGTGTTTAAATATACTTTACGTTGACTTTGAAATATTTTTAAAATATGATTTCAAAAGCGATCGTATTACAAACAAGAGAGCTATGCTCAAATATATGAACACGTAACAGCAGATACCACAGTCTACAATATATTGACACTGTACCCGGTATCGGTAACCTCAAATAACTTTTGAGTAGCGACGATTTTCGGAATCGGCCGTCACGCTTGGCGGATTAAAATACGTGTTCCCAAAATTGAAAAGTGATACAGCGAAATTTTGGATGAAATATCAGATAGGATTCATAGAAAACTTGGGAATAAATAAAAGTAATCAATCTTTAACCCCTGAAAATATCAAAGCAATTGGTCCAGTATTCGAAGATAAAAGCGATTTTATCATGACGAAGAAGAAAAACAACGAGAACAACAACATAATATTCGATCGTATAACGATCGTTAGGTCCACTAATGTGCCAAAAAAAGCCTTCAGCATGTATTTGCAAAACGCAAATAGAAACCGAATTTTCATTTATAAACTCCTAAAGAGGCCAGATTTTTTCCTAACTACAGCCAACAAGGCTAGGTTTTTTTCTCAGCGTTTTAAAATCTATTAATGTAAAACGAAGTGTATTAGAGCAAAGCATTTGTCATAATCTGTTAGCTAGAATTGACTAACACCAAAACTTTCCGTTCCAAACACTGCTCAACATTCATTCTGTCTCATAATCATAATTTCCTCTTTCTTATGTTTTTATGAATTTTGTTACATTCTGTGTATATTTTTCACTGCAAGCACAAGCTTGGACACTGCTCTGCAGAAGTATTAAAGGCATTGAATGGGATATTGGGTAATTAAATAATTAATATGTTATTTTATTTGCTACACTCCTATTATTTTGTAAGGCAGTTGCTAATTTTGGTCTCATAAACTTACTGGAAGTTTAGTTCAGTCTTGACATCATCTGGTACTATGGGCTCAACAACAATATAATCCTTGTCTTCAGCTTTGAAACATAAAATGTTGGCATGAAGAATTGTAAAAAAATCCAAAAATACGAAGTTGTTTTGTTTTTATTTCTGTCATAAATTATCGACAAAAAAGATTTCGTCTATAACTGAACAAAAAATATCGCATTAATCACATCAAAAACTTACTCTAATAAAAGAGAAAAAACACACATTCCTCAGTTTGATCTCGGGCTAAACCATTTCCAGCAACGTCAATAGACTTATTAGTACTTGATTTTAGTGACTTATTGCCAACCAAATTGATTTATTTAAATTTTAATTAAATAAAATAGATACCATATACTTGTACGATGTCAAACCATTCCCCGTTGCACGGAACCGAAACACAAATTCCATTGTAGTATGTATATCCCCTCAGATAATTTGCCCAAGCTCCATTTGATGACCTCGCGTATAATGAGATCACAGCAATTCCATATGCCTGGGTGGACTCAAGATATTGGGCGTCACTGAATACTCGGACTTAAAATGAAATTGAATATTGTAAGTGACATGCATAGATATTATTTAGCTATCATATTGCAAACGTATTTTCTTCGAAACCTGAAATGTTAACTTTTGGAATGATTTTATAGTTGAAGAGGTATTTGTTTATTATAAGGTTTAGAAAAATAAAATTTATACCTTTCATATAACAATAGGGCCGCAATAAAGCATCCAGGTTATAAATTTGACGAACGCTGCTTATGTCAACGCGTGTCATAACAGACGCATGATTACTTCTTCTTCGTCTTCTTAGTGAAGTTCCTGATGATGCCTGCGTGAAATTTATGCAATTCAAGAGTCATGCTGCACAATATCAAAAATGTATTTCTGTAACATTTTGTCTGTCCAAAGTCAGACAAGCAGTTTACAACAATGGTCACTCACGTCATTGTCATGTTTATCCACGCTACGCATTCTTGCAGTACATGCATACAAATCAACCAACAAAAAGACATAGAGGAAAGATAGGCGATTAGACTCACTTATCCCAACTCATAATTGTGCAAATATATAGTGTTGAAATATTTAATCTATGCAAATAATGTTTTTGGTGTACATACATTCATCTGTGATACTTCTTGCCATACTCCATCTGTTTCTATGAGTTTGAATAATTTCACTTCATCGATTTCTTCTTGTGAGAGACCATCTGTGATCAACTCAATTTGAACCTACGATAGAGTATTGAAGATGTTGAAAAATTGTGGATATATCCTATCCTTTGATCATTTATATTTATCTGAACAAGTTGACATCACAATTGTTGTCTAAGGCAGTTACTAATAAAATATTGAAACCGAATATAGCATTCTCACCCCACGTGCATTCAATTGTCTTCCATCTGCTGTTTTAATGTCAGTTTGCAGCATTCCAGTGGATGACAAAAAGCCAGGAACACCTTCCTCGTCGTCATTTTCAGTTAAAAGCTGTGCTGGTATATTTTGTGAGTTTTCTCTGTTTGACGGGTCTATGAAATTGATCGCCGCTTTGACCTGGAATTAAACATTTATGAATTGAACAGAAAGAGAACTTCCGTTTCAAGTTTGAAACAATTGGTTGTATTATTTGTATTTCCATATTTTTATATTTGGGATGTCAAATAGGTCGCAAATATATCAAATAACCGTCACTATAATCGCGATTGATGGGAATTATTTAACACCTAAGATGCTCAAGTTCAAAGAAACTGGGATTATGGCATAATTCATAATAGTAAACTGCTATCACTTTTTAATTAGGTATTCATTCTTGTCTAAAAATATCATCCGTGGTTCGTGGTTTTTATTAAAGCAATTTAAAATCACTTTTCCGTGGAGAAATTTCTTACCTCTCCGTCATATTCAGTTCCATCGGGCAAAAACATTGAATGAGCACCGAATTCAATCGCTACATCTTGAGTTGTTCCAAGTTCGACTGTTGTATTTGTATTTGATGAAAAACTTATAGCAGTTGGTTTAAGAACCATTTTTACAGTTACTGAATAAGCATATTGGTTGCTTATAAGATTAATGATCTAAAATTTTGAATAAAACAAGTTAATGGAATTCTCGAATCATTCTGACATTGCAGACTATGAAAATGGGCCTATAGTTCAGTTAATCATAACAACGTAGAAAAGAAATCTAGATTTCCTACTTAAAAATTCTCACTTCAAAGTTTTCTAGAAGTAAAGTCAATATGATAATCTAATTTTGGTATAAATTAAAAATAAAAATGGAACATTTGAAAATTAGTATCCCACCTTCACTTGTGTAAAAAATAATTCGTCTACGTCGTCAATTACTGAAAACGTAATACGATAATTTGAAGGATATTCCACACTGAAACTGAAGTGTCCGTCCTTGTTTGCTCTTCCCACTTCAGTTTCGTTTATTTCAATTCCAAAAGAACAGTTGTGTAATTTGGAGTCACACCCTTCAAAGCTGAAACATTTTTAGCGTTTTTGATTGAATTTGAATCAATGATCCAATATTATTCAGTGGCGTCATTTCGGGCATATGTGGCAATATGCCGAATTCAAGCATATTTTGTGATTTTGCTGTATTTTAAAAATTAAAATTTTATCATTTGATCTAATTCTCTTCAATTATTAGTACGTGTCTCAATTTGAGACTGGCTATGTAATTGATGATCGTGGTTCTATAAACTTTTAACTAAAATTAGCAAACCTCCCGGCAACAAAAGCTCTGGGTGATTCGCAAATCTGACATTCACATCTCAGTACTTTTGAGTACTCAATGTTTCCTCCTGAAAATAACAATATATACAGTATAATAAAAATTCAGTAGTTCAGTAGAAGTAGTTCTTCAGGTAAAACAAATACCTGGACAAGATGAAATTTTTCTTTCATAAACTGGTCCACAGCATTTAGGGTTGACTTCGTTGCTACAAAAACTAACTGAACAATTTCCAACATCTCTTTCACAATTTGGTGCAATGACCTGAAAGTTCTCTGTGCGTCGACAAGCTGTGATTGTGATTGAATTTAAAATTATATAACGACAATGCAAAACATTATGACGTCAAATTCCAAAATTTAATGCGAAATCATATATAATTTTTTATTGTTTTTTGAACTGTATTGAATCTAAAATACTATGGAATAATGCTTATTCGTGTTATTTTCATTTTTCACGCTTCACTTCAGATGCTAAGGTATCAATTCAAGATTGTTTAAACTACTTGTGCCTTGTACAATAACTAATTGAAATTTTTAAATATGAAGCTTTGATTTACCAGGGGCTCCTGTACAATTTTGTTCATCCGTTCCTCCAACGCAATCATCGGAACCGTCACATACCCAATCTTTGGAAATGCAATTTCCATGTGAACCACCATGCATGCACCAAAACTGACCACTAGTACAAGCTGAAACAAAACAGATATTTGATTATTCACACCGAACTTTTTAAAATTTTTCTTCCAACTACACGAATATGAAGCTAACCACTAATACACTATGAATATTTAACAAGAAATACGCAATTTTTAGCAATTCGTCTTATCGCCTCATATACCTGGGGTGATAAAGTGTGATGTTTGTTGATTTGGTCTTAAAATTTGATTAATCATTTTATCAAAAGTTTTCTATCACCTTGCGATAAATGAACATTACTTTTTCAGTGACCTTTTTCAAATATCAACAAAAATTCGTTAATTCAGACTAAATCATCTGATTTTTTTTCAAATGTATACAATATATTATGCCGTTCCCTGTTATTTATTCCCTGATTAAGTAATTGAGTTTTTTTTTTTTTTAAATATTGGGGAAAAATGTGAAAGTTAATAGAATGTGTTTCACGTGATATCGCTGGACAGTCATTTTCATCTTCTCCATTTTTACAGTCTTTCACACTGTTGCATACATTTGATGACAAGATACAATCAGACCCATCGTCTGCCAAAGCGCCAGATGTACATCTGAATCCATCACAATCACCTGTAGATAAAAATACACCCAATCAGAAAACGACTGTTATAAATGCAACATAATTATAACATTGGGTAAATTATTTTAAGTTTTTTTAGAATAAAATAAAATATATATGCAAAATAAAACTCTTAGCCTAGAAAAGTAATTGAAACGATAACATATTACCCAAATAAATAGAACTGTTGCCTCGAATAAACGAATGACAACTTTTTTTGTAAATATCATCCAGAAATGAGTAAGAAGCGTATCATATAAAAAAAATAAAACATGCAAGATTTACCGTTATTGCGGGAAAACACGACTGCAATAGCAATAACAGCTCCAACCAGTGCTGAAGCCGCGACAATTGAAAGAGCTATCGCCCATTTAGGACATGTCTGCGACACTGGTTCTTTAGGCTGAAATCAATAAACTATTTGTTAAGGAAGAATTTGTAAATAATGAGTTGAAAAATATGTGACTATCAGTAAATTGGTACAGACTTTTTTTTACAAAATGTGCGACAATGAATTGCTTTCCCCGCATTTAAATTTGCAAATCTTCAGTTCATTTCCCCACATTTTTCAATTCAAATGATTATTTTCATCGTTATTCATATTGATTGCAACACAGTGAATTTATAAATGATTTTACGATTTGATTAAATCATATCGTGTGCCAACGTACACGTCATGAGGTGCTCAATTTATCGATATGCATGAGAATATAATTTAAACGTCTTCTAATTTAAACTTATGAAAATTTTCTATAACAACCTTCACAAAATTACTCTTAGTCGAAGCCATTTAATTTATTGGGCTTCACGGAATAAAAGATTTGAAGAAACAATTTTGAATAAATTTTCTATAAAGTTTCAGATCGGTTGGACTCTTGATTATAGCCCAAGGGCCAAAAAAAAAAGTTACAGTGGTCAAACTCTCATTGTTCATTTTTTTCCTCTTCTTGAAATTTTCCGAAGGGGTTGGCAACTTAATATACAAATACAGCTAAACTATGCATATACCGCCAACTCATATACTTATAGAGCCAAAGTCTTATGCATATACAGCTATTACCGAATGTTTATATATATCCTACTCAATATACATATACAGCCATACAGTTGATAATGCATATTCATTCACTGCCATATGCATAAACAACCAATGTCATGCAATGTGCGTTCATCGATACCAACGAAAATCGACGATACCGATACTTGATATTTCAAACCGCTGATATTCCGATAACTTGTTAATTATCATCAAAGTATATACGATGTTCTCAACTGTTAACTTGAATAAACGATATTTTAGAACGTGCGAAATGGATATTTTTGATTCAGATACAAATCAAACACGGCGTTTTAGAGAGATTTTACTTTTAAAACATTAAATCATGTTCTGTATCGCTTACATGTGCGAGTTTTATTGCCGTTCAATAACGAGTACAAAATCTAATACAAATAAGGGGTTGGCGGACGAAATATTAAATTCCCGCGAATATAACAAAATTAATATTGCGAGCCTCCGATGCCAAACAAATCAAAATAAACGACTGACGTCTTTGGAAAGGAATATGAGACCTGAACTCTATATATCGCAGGATTAGCACAATAAAGTTATTGTTAAAATATCGAATTGAACCGTAAAATTCGTTCAACTCGGTCGCAAGTTGCATCTCCAGAAGATGAAATGCAAGATGAAAACAGTCATTTCAAACATTTATATTTTGACCTCGTCTAATCAAAAGTGTTTCAAAAAGCACCCACAAGGAAAAGATGATTTATATCCTGAGGGAAAAAGATAAAGGTGAAGTATAAAATTCGGTTTCACAAGATATCTTTATTACCAATTATGTTTTCGCCATCTGATTCCTACCAGTAGAACCAAGCTTTCCGATTTTAATTAATGACGAGAAAAATAGTGATAGTGAATACCTAGGTTCCAGGAAAACATTTTCCTTCTTAGTACCAGCGAATTAAAGTTAACGTGGCCTAAATAAATTATTTTGCCTTTACAGGGAAAATTTTCGTATATATTTGAAATCCGGTAAATTTATGTATATACACACCTAATGAAAGAACCATAAACAACCATCCAATGCTTGCATCCAGCAAGTTCAATGGAAATGTATACAGCAGATATTAGTTAAGTACGCATTATTTCTTAGTGGATTATTTATGATTATTTTACTTTGTGGTTATAAACAAAAAAATTCACATTGATGGCTAATAAATTATCTTGACAGGCTAAATATTGAGGAACGAAGAATACGCAAAAAGTATTTATAAATATTTGGCCAATGCACAAATCGAACGAAATGCGTTTATTTGACGGTATTTGATTTTTTTTAATTATTGATTAAATATGACTTTATTTTGTGGTAAGATCTATGATAAAAATACAATTTCTAAACATAACTAAAATATGAGAGCATGTCTAAAATGCATTCGATCCTCTCATTATTCCAACACTTACGGTTAAACATTGCAAAACAATGTTCACTCAACTTCATACTTTGGAAGTCGCTAATTATGAGCATGGATGTTATCGATTAAAATCCAAATAACTAATAGTAATCATTTCGATTTTGTACTATGAAAGCTCAAAAGCTAATAATAAAACTCGTTTTAAATATTTTTATATTAAGTCGAAGTTCTGTTAAGTAAACAAACTAAAAAACAAGTCGAAAATGTTAGCCTAGTTTGCTAAATGACACATGTATTGTGAAATGTTTCTAATCCGAAAATGAGAGGTTACTCACAAGCTCTCCATAGTACGTTGGCGTTGGAGTAGGATAGGTTGAATGTTTTGTCATAACTGGCTTATTATATATGGTTTCAATACATTAAGAGTTCCCTGTTAAAAAACAAAAACATGTGAAATTTTCGCTATCGATGCAATTTATTCAGGTAAGATATTTTTTTAAATATATTTTTTGGTATTTTCGTGGAGAGAATATTTTAAAAATGTAGTTGTTACAAAAATTGTAGGAAATCTTGAATTTCACGTGTATTCTTGTTGTGTGATTTGTACTCAGACCATTCAACATACTGAAAATATGCGTTATGCATCTCAGCGGCTTATACATTTCAAAGAAAAAAGTTTCGAATACACTTTTTTACATACATTTCTGGAGAGAATGGTATTCTTTAACATTTACACTCATCTAAAACAACTGATTTACTAACTAAAATTATCTTATTTCAAATATTTAAATTTCTGGTATTCAGCATAATTTAACAAAAACGCCATACAACTAGAGGAATACTCTGGTTCATACTTTGTTTTACAATAAAGCAGAGCCGCTTATTTTTGACCGCGGGCATGATTACACATAAGTAGACATAGATCAATATTTATTTTATTACGATAGAAGGGATTCTTACAAATTTACTACGCCCAAGTTATAATAAAATTCCAAAAAAATAGCTATCATTTATAGGGCATTGTACGACGACAAAACACCTAACAACATTTCATTTGCTATGTGCAATACATTGTTAGCGTTTTATTACATAAGAGGTTTCACTCTGGGTTGTTTGCGCAAGGTTCAAGACGCCTAGTTATGACTTTATTATGAGTAAGAGCAAAACGTTTTGTGACGTGTTGAGAAATTCTTATATTGAACAATAATTGTGAGATTGTGAAACTCATGTTTCCTAGTAAACAAAATATTTACTTGCTTTTCTATTTATACAATGTAAAATTCCAAACGGAATAATTAGGATTTTTAACAAATGTCAAAAACACACTATCAAATTTATTACTGTGTTCAAATCAAATAATATACCGAATTTATCGATTTTCTTACTGTAGTCATAAAAACACTATAAACTTAGGAATGTAATTAGTTAAATAATGGAACTGAAACATCTTTAATAGCACTTGTTCATTGTGATGTAAAAACTGGCGTTGACGTGAGCCAAGTATAGAAATCCAGTAAGTTCAATAAAAACCGAGTCCATAATAACCTTGTGATTACGGCAAAGGTGTTTTCCTTTTATTAGGTCTCCTTTCAATATTTTGTTATTAATTTATGAATTGTTCCCAATGATCGGAAATTTTAAATCACTTGATGAAATATAATGTAATGTATCTACCTTTCCTAGGACAATGCGGTTTCACAAGGCTATCCAGAAAACAACATTCCTAAACTTGTCTAAGATCTGCATGAACATGAACTGCATGAACTGAAGAAGAAATTAGACACGGGGTGGATGAATGATTTTGTTATTATGCTGTTGTTGTTCGTGTTGTTAGTTGATTTTTTCTTATTGTTATGAATATATTCGATTTTCTCTCAATCTGCTTGACCAATGAGCACATATAGGCTACACATTGTGACATTGGCTGGACCAATTGATTTGGAACTGTCGGTGGTTAACGATATTTACCTAGAAGGCTATTCCTTTGAATTATTTCAAAAATTTTGCAATGACGTCATCAAAATTAAAAGTTGGACACCTGGTGGCGGTTCTGCTTTCACGTAAGTCGAGATCTGCTACCGACACCGATAGTCTACTCGCTCTACTATGACAAATTGCACACCTGTACCTCTTCGCTTTGGCTTTTTTCGTCTATATATTTTAACATTGCCCCATTGTTCAATTTTGAAATTATGAAGCAAAATAAAATCTTGTTAATTGTATTGTCGTCGTGCAATAACCTATAAATGACAGATTACCTTGGAATTCAATCAAAACTTTGAGCGTAATTAATTCGTAGGAATCCTTTCTGAAGTATTAAAAATAAATAGTGGTTTATGTCGCCTAAATGTACATCATGTCCGCGGTCTTAAATACGCTTCTCTGCTTCATTGTAGAACAACGTATGAACCAGAGTATTCTTCTAGCGTTTTTTAAAAAGTATGCTGAATTCCAAAAATTCACATTTTTGGCATGAGACCATTCAAGTAAGTCATGCAGTTGTTTTAGATGAATGTAAATTTAAAAGAATACTATTCATTTCAAAAATGTCTTTCAAAAAAAATTGTATTTAAAATATTTTTAAAGCATATCAAGTAATCAACTGAGACGCACAACGCAGACATGATTAATAAGACACCCTTTTTGCAGCCTGTTAAAATGAGTTGAGTACAAATCACCTAACAAGAATACACATGAAATTCAAACTTTCCCATAATATTTTTAAGGACAAAATTTTTAAAATATCTTCACTATGAAAATACCAAAAATATTTTCAAATAATATTTTACCTGAATGAATTGTATTTATGGTGAAAATTTGACATGTTTTGTTTTCTAACTCTTAATGTATTGAAACCAAGAAAATCAACCTGTCGTACTCCGACGCCAACGTATTATGGTAGGGCTTGTAAGTAACCTCTTATTTTTAGGTTAAACATTCCAAAATACATGTGTCAATTAGCAAATTAGGAAAAACATTATTTTTGTCTTGTTTTTTTGTTTGTTTACTTAACAAAACTTTGAATTAACATAAAAATATACGTAAAACGTTTAATTATTAGCTTCTGAGCTTGCATAATGCAAAATCGAAATTATTACCATTAGTTATTTGGTTTTAATCGATAATATCCATGCTCATCATCAGCGATTTCCAAAAGTATGAAGTTGAGTAAACATTGTAATGCAATGATTAACCGTGAGTGTTGAAATAAAGAGAGGATTGAGTGCAATTTAGACAGGCTCTTATATTTTAGTTATGTTTAGAAATTGTATTTGTGCGAGAGCTAAGATACCATGAAATGAAATCATTTTTTCAAGGATTTAGAAAAATCAAATACCGTCAATTAAACTCTAATAATTAAAGAAAAGGCTTATTTTGTTCGATTTGTGCGTTGGCTAAATATTTATAAATACGTTTTGCTTATAGTTCGTTCCTTAATATTTAGCCTGTCAAGGTAATTTATTAGGCATCGATATATAATAATATAATAATTACAACCTGATGTATACATTTCCAGTTACCTTGCTTGATGTAAGCATTGAATGGTTGCTTATGATTATTCCATTGGATGCGTATATATATATATATTCTATAATCTATATGGTAACAGTTGGAATAGTGGGACATTTGGTATATGTGAGACAAATGCCCTAAAATGGCACAAATTAGAAACGGCATTTGTAGACACCGTAGGCTACCGGTACTGTCTCATTGTTAGTCATTGTACATTCGTACCCATCTTCGGACACTGCTCTCTTAGAATGGAATAAATAATAAATACTTTTTTAGAATAAAAACGAAGACTTCTGCATATTTCAGAGAAAAACGCTGTTTTTCATTCTCGTTCAATCTGACCAATTTGTTTCTCTGTGGAACTAGAGATGAGTGGAATTCTATCAAACAAAAGCTGAACGCTGAGACACGGGACCTATGTCAAATAAATCCATTAAAACCGTTTTTCCTGCTTTTACTAGCTATGATACACCAGAGACTCTATTGAGCTCATTTGCCTTTGAGTCACCAATCGTTTTTAGATGTTCTTACACAGTGCATAATATACTTTCTTTATTTTCTATCAGCTCTCTCTATATCTGTATTTTTGTCTATTTGAAAGGTAAACAAAAATTAACATTTACATAAAATCGGCTTAGTTTTCATGGCATTATTTGTAGGGTTTGAATCAGCAGAAATCGATTACAGCCACTTCAATGAACCGAGCTGACCTTAGATGACGCTGGAAGCAGAGTCCGATCCCAAACTTTGATTCAAGTTATATATATGTCTTCGTAAGGTACCATTATTTTCTATATTTGATTGAAGTTTCTCTTCGCGTAGGTAGGTGGAGAGTAAAGAGAGAAAGTAATTCACGGAAGGACGCATATTACAATATATATCATATATGTGAAGTACGTTTTGGTAGGAGAGTGGGTTATGAAGTGCTGATTGTGTAATTAGTTTGGGGTTTCTTTTTCGGCTTGTAAGCTGTGTACATAGTAAAGTTACTATCATATTAGTCTTAACTTTGCTTTGAATTGATATAATTTATCTATTTCGAAATTTTAAAAATCGGGTAAATATGTGAGTATGATGACAGGATAAGTGGCCACGAATAGGAAAATAGTAACAAGAGCGGAATGATGTGCTATAGAAGTTGTACAGAAGGGATCAAGTATGAACTTGAATATATTGCTGAGAAGCTTATAGTGCTTGAAATCAGTATGACCAAAAATAAGTTGCACCATGAACGTCTGGGTTGTGGATATGAGAACAATTAAATAAGAGCCTAGTGTTAACGATATCACAAATCGTGGATTCGTGAGTAATGAACCTAGTTGTATTACCCAGATTTTTCGGGTTACGATGTCATACTTGTCCCAAGGTGATGAAAATTGGCGTATAGGTGATTTGTACATGATTAAACTATTGTAATCACTTGTATAAGAATATTCCGATAATATTTATTTATCATCTGGATTGTAGGAGACAGACAGGATGAAATATTTTTCTGTAAACTATATTTATAGTTATCATTATTTCAGATTGACGAACAGGTATTCCAGAACATAATAAATTGATATTTGTCGTGTCTCATTTGTTCCATGTATGTAGGATAAGTGGGGTAAGCGGGACACGTGGGATAAGCCGGGCTCGTAGGACAAGTGAGATACGTCCGACAAGTGGGGTAGGGAATAGGACAAGCGGGACAATTAGGCCGGCAAATTGGATAGGTGGGACACATAGAAAAAGTGAGACAATTTGAGCGACAAATGGGACACGTGGCACAAGTGAGGCAATTGGGGTGGCAAATGGGATACATGGCACAGGTGGGAAAACTAGGACGAGTGGGACACGACATTTTTGAGACGCCCTTCATTTTACTGCCTCATGTTGGGTAGGATCTATACTGCGATCTTTGAAGTGACTGCAATCGACTTTTACATAATAAAATTTTACCTCAATTGGCAAAGCCAATACTCCATACAGCGGAAACTCAATGATTCGTTCAGGTGAAGTCCTCATTTAGATCGCCTCTTGTTGTCCAGGTATACCAGTGTAGGTCGAAAAAGGCGCTTCACTACTTTGACAATAGTTTGGCGCTCCCGTAGTATGTGCACAAAGATGGCGCACAACCTTAACCCTAACCTGATACACATACTATGTTCAGGTTGTGCGCCATCTTGGTGCACATTCTACGGAAACACCATAATTTGACCCCACACTTTGTGATATCTCTCATCATTTTTATGCTACGAATTATTTTTACGACTCTTATAAAACTTTCAATTTGTCAACAGTGTGTTAGACAAACATAAATTTTCAAGATAAAACTTTACTTAACTTGTGATTCATTAATTTAGATATTTTTTATGGAGAAGGTAAGAAAGTTTAAAGGAATAGGCAAGAATATATGCCAAAACTTAATTAGCCTGAGGAATTAACAAAATTTTTCACGGCGTGATTGAATTTTTCTATGAATCTCATTCGTTCAGTTGCATACCGTCATTATGTTTAAAGATTTGCCGGTGTTTGACAATGTATATCCATGACGTCGTTTCACTCGTTTTCGTTTAATTAATTTTATGGGCATTTCTCCTGTTTGGATATTCATTCCAAAGCATAGTAAAATATTTGATTCCGTTGTGATACAAATTCCTGACTGTAACTTTTTTTAAAATCTTCAATTTCAAAAGGCGCAATTTTCGGAGTGAATTTATTTTATTTCTGAATTATATTTAGCCATTTCTATTCTATAAAATACCCAAAATTTTACAACTGTAAAGTACACATAGAAAATGTACAGATATATACGAGTACATGGAAGAGGATTGTAAACAAAGCTATAGAAATCATCACGAAGTATCTTTGGAAACGCCATTTTCTATCCCGTCTGATATCAATATGGAATGACTTGCATCAGCCGATATGATTCTGAAAGTGTGCTATAGAAAGGTTGTATAAACTGCAAAATAATTATGTCGATATGTAGCCTATTTGTATTAGTGTATATAACTGTGGGTATAGATGCCCATAGTCAATCAACCTCGTTCATTCATGACAAATGTGGTTTGACATCAAAGAAGAATGTGGACTGGTCGCAGGTAAGTCGAATTGTGGCCTGAAGAGTTAAAACATGAAAATGACTCTGTATGAAGCGATATACTGTATTAAATATATAGGTCAAAATAATAAAATACTTCGAAAAGAAAATACAGAGTTACCTAAAAAACCGAACCCTTAAATTTCCCAATTACTTCTTCGAAATTTGAGAAAATTTATCTAATTTTTTTTACAGAACTTTTTGCTGAAACCCCTAATCCTCATCACTAATCATAATCATCAATGTTGTTTAAATAATGTTCAGCACTTTTCCAGCACCATCACATAATGTTCCATATTCACCGTTTGATATTCGTTTCCATATTCGTACGGAACATTACGTCCACAAATGTCTACACATGCCGCGCACTGGGTGTGGCGTTCTCTGTAAGACTTCCCAATGTGCCCCTTTCTGTAAACAATATTTTTGCTATTGACATGCCCAGGTAGCAGGAAGTGCGCTTCAGCATAAAACCAATGAACCAAGACCACAAAACCAAGACAATTTTGCGCAGCGTATACAAGTCTGTCTCCAACATCATGAGGATATATTCTAGAATCTAGAGCAATGGTTCTAAACCTTTTTTCATTTGTGGCACATTTTTGCTGCACAATAATTCTGTGGTCCACTAATTTTTTCATGCTGGGGAAAAATTTCACGAAAAACATAAAAAAATTCTGCGAAAATTGACACTTTCACTTTAATAATAATTAGGTGGAAATTACCACCATGTAACAAAAAACAGCATCATCCGTTGCTACTACCATCAAATTTAACTAACTTTATCAGCAACTCTAGCAATTTTTAATAGGTCTGTGGCCCACCTTTAAATGTTCCTGTGGCCATGGCCCACTGGTTGAAAACCAGTGTTCTAGAGCAGGGGTCCGCGACTACGGGGTCGCGACCCAAATTTGGGTCGCTAAGCCCTCCGCTCTGGGTCGCGAAACAATTTAAATTTTCCATAAATATGAGCATCGCGTCTGTGCAGCGTATTTATGTATAACAACTTTATAAATCTCTGATTATAATTTTGAATGTTTCTCCGAGTATACACTTCCTTATTTACTGTCGTAACATTGGCCAATCAGCATAAGTGCAAAATTGAAGTAACAATGAACGTTTAAAAAGCGCTCAGATACTTTTGCCATTCAGACAGTCTTTCGTGGTTGTGATATTACCTCGTTTTGTCAGTTTTCGCGTGTTATTTTTTAGATTTTAATTGTGTTTTGGTAAATATAAGTCCTAAACTCGCAAAACCATTTGTATCCTCCTACGTAGACTTTGGGTTCTCAAAGTGCTCCGTACGGAGCCTCAGGACTCCGTTAAAGACACTTAAAACTGTCCTCGACCCACTGCCCTATCTCCATCTACTTACCTATACTCGACCCACTGCCCGACCTCCCTCAACTTTCCTATTCTCGACCCACCGCCCTATCTCCCTCAACCTTCCTATCCTCGACCCACTACGCTATCTCCTTATCCTCGACCCACTGCCCTATCTCCCTCAACCTTCCTATCCTCGACCCACTACGCTATCTCCCTATCCTCGACCCACTGCCCGACCTCCCTCAACTTTCCTAACCTCGACCCACTGCCCTATCTCCTTCAACCTTCCTATCCTCGACCCACTACGCTATCTCCCTATCCTCGACCCACTGCTCTATCTCCCCAACTTTCGCATCCTCGAACCACCGCTTTATCTCCCGCAACCTCTCTCTTCTCGACCTACTGCCCTATCTCCCTCAACCTCCTATCCTCGGACCCACTGCCCTATCTGCCACAACTTACCTATCTTTGACCTACGGTGCTAATCTATTCGGTACCTGACCTAACGGCGCTTTATTCACGACCCGATCGCCACACTGAACTTTACTATCTTGGGACCAACTTCCATGGATTATACTGGTCGTGTATGCCAATGAGATGATTCAATCGTACGTCGACAAAACATGATTGACAGCATTCGTATATGTAGGCTGGAATCTCAATTAGTAAACAATAACCTTAATTGGCAGTTTAAAAATGTTTTACTAATTGGGCTACTGATGGTTTTTTGTTGGGGATAACAGTTTTCTAAATTTTAACAAGCCGTGTCATGCCCTTAATAACCTGCCTGTTGGGTTTGCCGTAAACTTTAGCAACCCTCAACATTACTATATATTTATTTGGACCTCTACATTGCAAGAATTATTTACACGTCTATATCTACGATACTGGAATCATTTGTTTTTATCACCACACAATTTCGTCGTTTCATTCATCACATTTACATATTCAAAGTGGTGAAGTTGTTAATTATCGTGAAACCTGGCAGAGATACATCAAAGGAAGTTAATAGCCCGAAATGTCACCGCCCAACACGTTTTAGGCTTCTTGTAGAGCCTCATAATTAATACTAAGTCGCTTATATTCTACATAACATATTGACACACTCTGTTGTATTAGCTTAACATATATGTACAAAACTGCGTGACGAAACTAA